CGAAGCGTGTGTTCCACGTAGGAGCAACCAGTTTCAGCATTCCATTACGTGTTATGTAAATCCGTTGGCAAGCGGCTCCTTCCTTCCCTCCCCTTGCCTGCTTGTGACATCGTGCCTGGAGTAAACTCAGAGTCACGATTTACTGACAATACACGTCACTCATCAGTCCGGTGCGGCCTGCCCCTAAATCCCCCCCCCCCCCCCCTTGGCCACTCTCATTATCTCAGTCTCCTCCTAGTGGTGCTCCACCATCTATCAAGAGCAGATCTACTCTTGCTTGTAAGTGGAACCCTCTTAGTACGCACCCTCTGATAAGACATACGTTTGCTTACGTACATTTACATTGTCTGGAGCACGCCGTGCGTGTAGGATAATCCACGCTGGATTTGTAGTTTCAGAATGGCAACAAACATACGTAACATGTCGCTTCAGCTGATTCTGTTTATTGCCATTCGGAAACTGTTGTCACCTCGCCGCCTGTTGAGGTTGTAGTTGAAAGATTTTTTTCGTGAAGACGAGGAAAACTATTGTATGGCAAAAAGAAAAATCGCGTGAGACTCAGCTAGAGGCTGGGGTTTTCCGCATCTGTAGGAACGCCACCATCTTTCAAGGATTTAAGCCGCAGATGCAGCTCCTAAAGCGGTGTGAGGTAATGGCAATGAAAACTGTTGGGATAATAAGTATCTCGGATGCTAGGTATGCCTTCCTACACTTTCCTTCTAAGAGAGAGAGACAGAGAGAGAGAGAGAGAGAGAGAGAGAGAGAGAGAGAGAGAGAGAGAGAGAGAGAGAGAGAGAGAGAGAGAGAGAGAGAGAGAGAGAGAGAGAGAGAGAGAGAGAGAGAGAGAGAGAGAGAGAGAGAGAGAGAGAGAGAGAGAGAGAGAGAGAGAGAGAGAGAGAGAGAGAGAGAGAGAGAGAGAGAGAGAGAGAGAGAGAGAGAGAGAGAGAGAGAGAGAGAGAGAGAGAGAGAGAGAGAGAGAGAGAGAGAGAGAGAGAGAGAGAGAGAGAGAGAGAGAGAGAGAGAGAGAGAGAGAGAGAGAGAGAGAGAGAGAGAGAGAGAGAGAGAGAGAGAGAGAGAGAGAGAGAGAGAGAGAGAGAGAGAGAGAGAGAGAGAGAGAGAGAGAATTCGGAGAGTCGTTGGAAGCACGCCTCGACTAATCTGCTTCAGTCTGTAGTGTAGATGTAGATAGTTGCATAATCTCACCTAGACATGAGGTAGAATGCCTGCGAGGGTGTATTGCGACTCAAGCTTCACGCTTACGCGATCATGAGGCAAAAATCACTCCATCTGTCAGTCTGATCTCGTCAATGAATGGAGCGCAACCTGGCCTATCCAGACTCAAATTCAGGCTGCCCATTTTTCTGCCTGCATAATTATATCCAGCAATGGCTAACTGTGGTGCAAGGGGCCAGGGGGGGGGGGGGGACACCCTACTGTCCAGTATCATGTCAGCGTGCAGACTACAGTACTAGGATCATGCAGGAAGTTAAACATCCCTCCCCCTCCCCCGTGCAAGGAAAACTGAGTTATTCAAGCATTGAACTTTGACACCAGCCCAGCAGACACGCAGACTGACAGGTGCGATCGGAATGCCAGTGACGCCTCACAGCACTGTGTGATCGCTGAGCACCGTCCCGTCACGTTCAACTGTGCGTTCCTTGTCTAGTTAGTACCACACGCACACTGCTGTACTGCCTGTAGTGTAGACTGTACTCTGTAGTGCTGCAGGCATGCATATCTGCGTGACTTGAACTGGTATGTACTGATAAACAGTTACTGACGTTGTCAACTAAACTATTCAAGGACGTCCCAGCACCCAGTGCAGTGCCAACAGACACAATGCGGATTGACAGGCGTTGGATGGCGAGTCGGATGGAGGCTGATGTTGTTGTCTGCCCAGTGCATGCTTTGGAAGGTGGCTGATCCAAACCTGCATATTATGTAGCTCTGTACTCTAGTGCTGTAGTGTAGGAACAGGGATTCACACTGGACTGAGTGTCGATCACCTGTCTCCGAACCCGGCACTCTCAGTGTCTGGTTGCAGCAGCTTCTACGTACACGTATGTTTCATTGTTTGGTATTACAAAGTACCAGTCCTGGTCAGAACCGACCATGGGACGAGAATGCCTCCGGCTGCTGCTTCTCGACGTTGGGCGTCTCGTGCTGACTTAGCAAGCAACCGGAGTGTGGTCTTGTTACCATGGTTACTGACTGCGTCACGTAGATTGTAGTATTGCTATGGTCACGCTGCAGCCATTGGTTGATCAGTTTCACGCACATGTACATGCACATTGTACATGTGGAACGAAGGGAGACTGGGTACGTGCACCCGTATCTCTGGACAGCTAGCTGTTTCGATCTTGTTATGTTATGTACAGACAACTTTGCACTGAAACCATAGCGTGTGCTAGCAGGGGCTAAACCTCTCTCTTCTAGGTCTTGACTGAGTGCAACAGGTAAAGAAATTCTAGTTGGCCCTATCCCGTGAGCACTGTCAGCGCACTGGGTACATCATCCAATCCTATCCTGGATACATGTATAACGTACTGCATTGTCTGTTTGTGGAGAAGCGACAACGTGATCGAATTAGTAGGAGTATCCTTCCCGGGACCGTGCTGCTAAAGTCCTGGGCAGAGAAATCCGACCCCATGCGTATGATAGCGCTGAGGGCTACGCGGCCCTAGCATCACAAACACCACTCTGCTCACTGGAGCGCGGCGCTACTTTATTCATGAGGTCGGATTTCTCTGGCCAGCACTGTTAGATAAACATAGCGCTGACAATGGAGCTTGCAGCGTATCTCATGGACGATGTGCCACACGATTGGGTTGACCAAATCACGACCAGTTTCTAAAATTAGTAATAGAACCCACCCAGTGAACACAGCTAAACCGGCCAGACATTTGGTGCGTCCATGGAGCTATGAAGCCGAGACCTCTGGTCGGTTGGCCCCACCACCACACTCCATTATTCATCCCAGTGTCTGGTAGGGGGTGTGCGGATTCTGCTCGAAAAGGTGGCAGATTCTGCTCGAAAAGCAGGGAAATTGGCAGAACCATACAAACCTTATGGCGGTCAATTGCTCGAATTCTGCTCCATTTCTATATCCACATACCAAACATGCATGAAACTTACCAGAAAAAGTACCGAATTCCGCCAATTTTTCTGCCGGCATTATCCGCATATGCCTAGTGTCTGGAGATATGTGGATTTTGTAAAAATAAAATAAAAATAAAAAAATAATAAACCTGGTGTGTCTGCTGTGTCTTGTTTTGTGTTTGCTTCCACATGTCTAACAGTAGAGCTGTGTTCTTAGTGAAAATACATTTTAAAAAAGAACAGGGAACAATGTCTACAAGCGAACATACAATGTCATGTACATAATTATGTTCTGTGATTGCCCGTATAAGAGGCTTGAGAAAAGAAAAAAACAAAAAAAAAACATGCACATGCATCAGAATGTCCCTAAACTAAAGCCAGACGTAGACGGACCCAGGCTCCTGGGCTCTTGTACTGGAGCCGAACATGAAAGAAGACACACTGCTCAGTGTACCCTTCACCACAATGTGCAAGCGTATAATAATGGTTCAGTGGGACTGTAATACAATGCAACACAATAATTTTAATATAGCTACAAGTACAAGGAGGACTATTTGTACCCTAAGCATTTCCTATATGTCGACATGTATGTGTAACATGTTTACGATTAGTCCTCCTTGTAGCTAGATTAAAACTGCTGTCTCCGAAAGGCTTGTTAACACAAAAATTATTGTGAAAATACACAACCTGAAGGAGAGCCTATAGGAAACCTTGGTAATAATGAACCTGTATACACTTTACGAGCTATTTTATGTCTGTGGTGCCTCCTTTGCACCATGGCTGGTAGCTCGACCTATTTAGCTCGTAGCTGTACTGATGAGGCCTTTATGGCCGAAACAGCTTGCTGTCTACAGCATTGGGTACACTATCCAGTATAGTGTGAGTGTGCCACTGTTACTACTTCATGTCCTGTCTAGACTAGGGGACTGCTGCTTGAGAATGCCTAGAGACGTGAGTGACTACCCAGTGCTCGTGACTGAGGGATGGGTTCCGCTGAAACCAATATCCGTGCTAGATCTGACTCGCCAGACGCAGGTTGTCTGGTGAAAGAATGACTTGAAGCACACTACCTATCCCCTCCTCGCAGCCCGCCCACACAGACATCACCAGTGCATGTATCTGCGTCAGCAGACCAAGGAGATAGGACATAAGCTTTGCCACCGTGATCTACTGGTCTAGCTAGTTCGTTTTAACTTAACGTGCTCTACTATGCTGTACACGCTATCGGATTGCGACTGGATTTGCATGGGCTGGCGTTGGTATCTTTGCCACCATCTTGACGTTCTAGCGTCACGTATTGCCGGCAATCTGTGCACCACCGTCTCAGTCTGACGATGCTGCGAGAGGATAGGCAATGCGACATTGCGCACTGAAATTAATCCTGGGCTGTGCTTGCCCGATCTGCTCTGCGAATCGTGTGCTTCCTACAAACGCCTGTATCTCGAGCAAGTACTCTAACCCAGGCACTCAACTTCGCAATGTAGACGACTATAAAGGTCTGGCAGACGGATTATTCAGACTCCAGCTAGACGCAGCAATAACAAACCTTTAGAACAGGCAACGTCTCTTGACTAGTTCAGTAGAGACGTGGTACCCTGCATACGCTCACCTACTATGCAGTATTGTGGTCTCGTACGGTCGATCTGATATTTACCTGCTATGGTTTAAACGTTGCTTACCTAGCTGTTGAACTGATTCTAGGATGCTTCTAGGATAGGAACAGGGAACCACCGTTGGCACGTTGCGGCCAAAACTCTAGTTTCCTGCTGGTGTGTCCGAATCGCTAGGAGCCTGGTAATTGTTGTGTCCACTGCCCACACAGATCCAGAACTGCTGTAGCTCCTCTGGTGTGTCTGGGTGCGTGCGTGTGTTTGGTGTACGCGACTGCTGCTGCGTCACAGAGATGCTGCAGTTCATAAGAGGCACGCCAGTCAGTAATGGTATTGCCCATGGGCCCAAGGAAAACGACGACCAGCCACAGCAGCAACAGCAGCACAAGAAGAGACGACTGTTCAGAGACAGATTAGCAGCGGATGCGTCCAGCCTCCTGGAGACCTATCAAGCATTCAGGTACAGTATAGATGTAATGTACCAGTTACTTCTGCTATCAACTGCGGGAACAACCAGTGTTGTTCAGTTTTTTGCTGAGCTGTGCTGGGTGTTAATCATTTAATTAAAGAGTCAGATGTTGAGACAATAATTATGTAAAGAGAAAGTTGCGAGTTATAACTAACAGTCCACCTGGGTAACGAGATAATTATACAGTCAGATATTGCGACAGCAAGGGACAACACTGACAAGGATATTGAGACATTCGACGACCTGATACCTAGCCCCAACACATCTACGAAGCGCAAACCCAAAACCTTCCAACTTGGAAGGTTCAGGTGCGGAAAGTTCGAGTGAGGGGAAGGGATGTCAGGTCGACGAATGTCTCAATATCCCAGTCAGTTTTGTCCCTTGTTGTCGCACTATCTGACTGTATCTGACTGTATCTGACTGTATCTCGTTACCTTCGTGGACCGTTAGTCACAACTCGTAACTTCTACAATGCAGGTGCATCCTCTTTACACACGAATAAATAAATTAAAAGAGTCAGTGGAAGTGGCGAGTTCGATTGGGATTAAAGGAGGAAGAGAGCGTTTCAGCTTCATCGGACCATGTACCAAGACCATTCTAATTTCCGATTTCGCTCAAAGTTGGCTCCTTTTATCCCTGGGTAGTCCTCATTCACCTACTCATATGATAAGACTTTGGAATCTTACCATTTCGGTCTCCTTGTAAACAGAGCCTTCTGTCGTCGAAACGATACCAAACCGACCGTATTTTGGGTGCTGGGTACGAGTACCGTTAAGGACGGAGCGGGCTGTGAAGGGCCGGGGGGGGGTCCTCCCCGGGAAAATTTTGTAAAAAGGCACAAAATCCTGTTAGTATAACAGTTTGGCCCCGAGACAGTCCGTTCCCGGGATATTGGGCTAAGTCAAACTTCAAAAAATGTGATGTTCTCTTTGGGCCATGGCATGGGGCCGGGCCCTGGGTTCGACCGCTAGCTGTCCTCGTGAGTCTAGTCCTGTCTCGGTAACGAAAATGCAGCTGTACTAGCTGTGAGCGTGACACCATGAAAAATGAACGTGCACTACAAAAGTTTTGTAGCGGTACCGGTACACGAGATACGAGCCTTCTCTGGAAGATCTTGTGCGAATGACCTATACTAGTCCAGAGCACTCCTTGCTGATTTTGTTGATGTCGACCAGGTCTTCTTTCTCATCATGCTTTGCTGTTGTTCAGCAAACGACGCAACATGGCAGTTTCATTCGAGTTCCTGACGGGGACCAGGGGTAGAGATTATTCCCATGCTGTCACTCTCAGGGCTAGTGGTTAGCGAAAAGGCACGTAACATGGCTGCGCTCCGTTTGTGCTTGTACCAGTCGTTGGCGCTTGCGGACATGTTGTAGCAGACTATGGTCGTGGTCTATCCCAAATTTCAGGACGCAAACTCGCCGCAACTGGCCCTTGAAGATGGCCTACGTAATGGTCGCCATTGGACAGGTTGAATTGATCGATTTTGTTCGAGGGCCTTAGCAAGTCGCCAGTGGACAGTTGGATGACTAAACACTGCAAGGTAACTTGGATCGATGTCCGGAAAACCCAAAACGATCGCCTTTGAGCCAGGTTGCCCTTTTTCATCCATTCCGGGGGTAGGTAGGTGTCATAGCCAGCTAAATAGAGAATTATTGCATGTAAAAATAGAAGAAAAACACATGGGAATGAGTTATGAAGCAACTATCCACGACTGTAACAAGATGATAAGCAGTCAGAAAGTGTGATAACAGGGCACAAAACTGACAGGCTACTGAGACATTCAACGACCTGAGACTTAGACATGACTGTGTTTTTATTTTGTTTTTACATTTCGTATTGGCTCAGTAAACGAGTTAGAATTATTGAATACGCATTACGAACAAACAAACGATTGCCGGTTGTCACCCAATGCCATGGTCACAAGCGGAGTGGGTGACTTTTACACAACATTTTAACGTTTTGAAACGTGGCCTGGCGCGAGGGAAGCATGGATGCAGCGAATGAGATTTTCGGTCTTTGACCACTTTGCGGTGAGCTGATCTACTCACCTCCCACCGCTTTAGGAGCTGCATCTGCGCCTTGACCCATAGAGGGCGGTGGCGTTCCTACGGATGCGGAAAACTCTGCCTCCAACCGGCGAAACATGATTTTTTTAAACGAATATTGCATTGCTGACTGTATTTGCACTGCACAGGGCCAAGCAGCAGGAACATATCGTCGCCACAGAGCGAGACCAGGGGATGCCGAGTGGTAAGCTAGGCGCCGGCCATTGCTGTGCCACGATCCACACTTGATCATCTACTGCGATGCATTAACGGCACATGATAGATCATGAGAGCATCGGCCGATAGTATAACGTGACTAGTCAGGGGCGACGGGAGGTGCTTTACTGTGCACATGTGGTATGGTGAGCCATCTCAAGTACAATTTACTTGTGGGGGGGGGGGAGGGGGTGGTGGCTGAGCCAAATATTGTGGAAATTTAGAGCCCAGATCAGTGCAGTTGATTGATTCAGCAAGGGGTACCCGGGGGCAAAGAGTTGTACGGTCAATACCGTAGTGACCGTAGCGTGGGCGAAGCCCTTACTAGCACTAGTACTGTCTCCAATCCAAGCGCACTTCTAGATCATCGATCAAGAGTGCTAATCTTGCACCAATTATACATCAAATTGAAACAAGGAAAACGGCGGGGCACAAGTTATGCGTTAGAGTCCGCCAACTGAACCAGGTTTGAACAGTCAGACGTGCACAAGGTAGCAATTTAGTATTTCCCTTGCCTCACCATTTGAGTACTAACAATAATACGTACACAGGTATTCTTGCATTGCATTTGCACGTTGGATACTTTCTACAACTTTCACCTCAACAGCAGGATCTGTCAACATAATTCTCCCTTGCAGATTTTTTCGATTTCACTATATTTTCCTGCTCAGATGCATTGATTCCTCTGTGTCTCGCTGCTCAGATTCATCCATGGCTCAGGCGGCACGACAAAAACTCAGCGGCATGAGTATGAACAGCATTAGCAGCATCAGCGGGGGCAGCAGCATTTCATCCGATGACAGCAGCTCCTCACTGGCGAACGGTGTGAAGGTGCAGCACGATATTCAACGTAGCAATGGCAGTGATCATGCAAATACAAGCACACGAGAGCCGGGGCTAGGTGCGTACGAGAATGCCATGCCGCTGAAGCCCAGACCTGCTCACTGTCCAGCCATCACAAACAATAACAGCATGGGAGACGCATTGCAAGCTGCGGACGACATGGTTATCTACGAAGTGTCCGAACACGACGTCCTGCCTTCCAGCAGCCGTAGCCCTGTTAGCCTACAACGCATGGACGCGCTGTCCCGTTCCCATGACAACATGCCACCACCACCGGTATTTAGTCCAGAAGATGATGTCATCAGGTCAATCAACATTACTAGACAGCAGCAAGAGCAGCAGCAGCAGCAGCAACGGCAGAAAGAGGTCGTCGAAAGTGAGCACGGAAACGACGAACTGTATACAGATATGTCTGGCGGGAGTTGCGTTACTAGCGGCAACCATCATGCCGACAGCGTTCAAGTGCGTTCTCCATCCCCGTCCCCACGCTCGCCACCCGCTACCGCATTGCAATCTCCTTCGAAAGGCGCCTCGCAGCGGCCGCCCAATTCCAAACGGCCACCGCGTCTTCCGAACGTCTCTGTCCGCATGACGCCGTCCCCGGCGTACGAACTCGCCGGCCCGGCGTTCTTCGCAAAAGTGGCTCAGGCCAGCACGGCCACCAGCCCTCCGCCCGTTGGCACAGTTACTGGCAATCCGTCCAGCAGCACTGCCCATGCCGACCCTACCACTAGACGACCACTATCCATGTCCGGCTCTACTCCAGCACTGCAATCACAAGGTGCAGCTGTTGTAAAGGTTAGTGTACTTGTATGTGATATGCTGCGTACATGGAAAGCCAAGAATGCCTGAATAGCAACTGAATAGAGCGGTCAGTTGACAAACCCCCTTTCTTTATAATGCAGTTGTGTGATGTCCACCACTTTCTTAGGGGAAAGCCAAGGATTCTTTTAGAGGAAAGAAAAGGGACCAAGGAGCTACTTCAGTACAACTTTCGCTATACTGTCCACTAACACCACTAGAGCTGATTGGCAGCTAGGTGTAGAACGTCAGTACCGTTGGTCCGTGTTGTGCAATGTTGTCATGTGAGCGGATTGTCCAGTAACCGGTTGTGTTAGTGGACGGTATAGCGTAACTTGTTGTTCATCGAGCCTTTTCTTCCAGACAGTTATTTACTTTCCGAATAACAACCCTCGATCGGGCATTAGAAAAATGTCGGTATTCACGATTATCGAAGATTGTAGAAGTAGACTCGGGTGGAGAGCCAAGGATTAATTTTTTTAAAGAAGAAATGAGCGGATTGTAAAGTAGCTGGTGGTGTTAGTGGACATTATAGCGTAACTTGTAGTTCCTTGGTCCTCATGTCTTCTTCAGTATAAATTGAAGTTTCGGTGTTGTTATTTGCAAGTTGTTGTTATACCCGTGGTCATTATTCACAAGATTGACTGTACGCCCGTTGACTGACAATGGCCCAGCATAGGAATTATGTAGCCACAGTGTTTGATAGTGTGAAGCCGTGGGCTCATTCGCAATACCGAGTATGCAACATATTAAAAAGACCACCTGGCCACAATCGTGAGAATGAAGATTTGAAACTTATTGTTAGATTCACCATGGTCCCCTACGCAGATACACTCAGCAACCCCGTTGCACTATTCATCATCCTTCCTTTCCTTTTGCAGAACTCAATACTGACTCTGCTGTGCTCACTCTGCTGTGCTGGCTCGCTGCCGTTGTACTCCTTGATACAGGCTAGCTCATTGGACGAATCCATAAACACGCCTAAAGTGCGCCCGCGCATCCAATCCCAGGCCTCCTACCTGATAGGTCGCAAATCTGCACCGCCGTCTGTCACTACTTCACCTGCCCCTCCGCAGCCTGGTCCCGATGCTACAGCTGCTGCTTCTGTATGTAGCTATCACCCAAGTGAACCGGTTTGCAGCTATCAGCCAACTGAGCCGTCGCCTGTCTCTGCTCGCACCTCTGTTTCACCCCAGCCCGCGCGCATCTCCCCCGCGCCGCACAACAACCTCAGGGACCACTCGGACCACATTATGGTTACCATGGCTACGGGCGTGCCGTCGGACAACGCGCAGAACGCCGCTGGCGGCGTAGGATATGTGCTGGAGGTGACTCCGTCCAGTCCTGCCGTGCCTATTTCGCCGCGAGGTGCTGGTGCTGGAGCTGGTGCTGGTAGTCCCGCAGTCAGCAGGGCGCGACTAACGCGTAAGCAGAGTAGCGTGAAGCTGCAGCCTGCGTCGGCATTCATGACTCCAGACATGAAGGGGTGAGTTTTTAAAAAAAAGCAAATTATTGTGTCCATTTATGACTCCGGACATGAGGGGGTGAGTAAAAATAAGAGAAAAGCATCATGTCCGTTCTTGAAGGGAACGCACGAAGGCCGCTAGTACCCGGTAAATCCAGTGGCAGATGCAGCGCGTAATGGTTGGGGGGGGGGATAAAGGAGAAAAGTATCACAGCCACCGCGGCACGAGACGGAGTGCCGAAATTGAAGGGGTGAGTTGTGCAGATATACTGGGACTCCTCTGCATACTACATATGGTACACATCGTTCAGTTGTTGTGCGGCTGTCTCTAGCAAATCCTGTGTTCCCTTTTGAGGACAAACATCCCCATACAGTAAAGCCTTGTGTAATTTAAGTGCAAGCAAAAGTGGTCGTCAAAGCCAGGTGGTCTTTAGAACAAGGTCCCGCACATTCGTTGCCTGCCCGGTCGTGCAAATACTTCCATGTACTCGTATTGACAGGTGCTGGACATAGAACACTTTCAGGCAGACGAAGCACCCGTGGTGAGATTTCACACCTCACTCACGTGCATGCAGTGCACCGTGCACCGTCACCTGTCACGTCCGTTCATGGTGCTTGTGTGTGTGTGTGTTTGTGTTTGTGTTTGTTCTCGCTGCTTGCGCTACAGGGCTATGGAGAAGAGAGGCGGAATTGGTGGACAGTCTTGGCAGGCTCGTCATGTTATCTGTGACAGCGGTGTCCTTTACTTCTACAAGTCTCCAAAGGATAAGCGACCAACGCTGCGCTTGCGATTACGTCAGTATGACGTCATTGAGGTGCCTGCTGCGGTCGAGTCCAAGCGGCCGACGATACACCTGCAGCCCAGGACCGATGAGAAAACCAAGAAGAAAGGCAAGCAGTATGTGCTGCGTGCTCGTCAGAACAGCGAACATGTCGTGTGGTTGAGCGTCCTACGCACCAGCAGTAGTGGACTGAAGGTGGGAGACTCGAGCGAAGACTGGAGTACAGACGAGGACCTAACCGGGAAGGAGTTCCCTGATCCGCCGGATTTCCCCGACGGCGAGTATGTCACCGAGATGTCGTGTTCGTTGCCAGAGCAAAGCTGTCTGCGCGCTGGCAATGCACGACTCTCACCCATAGCCGATGAACAAGTTAATGCAGACAGTGGCGCAGCAGAGGCAGCAGGCACACCCCTGACGCCATCGTCAGAGCAGGCGATGTGCCGAATATCCGTATCGAACCAGCGCAGAGCCACGTTTCCCGATCTCGGCGATCAAATCGACCTGTTTCTGAAGCCGCAAACCCCCACGGATACACCTACCCCTTTCAAGAGTAAAAGTCCGCTACCCACAAAGAAGGGACCGTCTGGTAAACCTCCCGTAGTTGCACCGTATAAGCCATCATCTGTCCGCTCACAGAACACAAACAATGTTGGAGAGGAGGGTGGTGAGTCCAAGGAAGCCATGGCTACCAGCTCCCCTATGGTAGTCCGAGACAGTGGTGGGCGTAGCGGCAATGCACAGAGACGGGATTCCGGCTTTCCGCCGTCGATATCCGGCGGCAGTAGGCCAACATCTGAGCTTAGCACGAGTAGCGGCGCATCCAATTCCACTACAACAGCGATGACTACTGGTGTAGCCACATCACCACCGCCACCACCAACACCGACCAAAACAACAACACCAGCAGCAGCGAGCAATCGTGATAGCAGGCACCTACAGGCCGAGCTTACTCATCTCATACAACGCTCGCGCAGCGGCGCTCTCCTCCCAGCACCAGCACATACATCATCTTCTCCTCTCCCTGCATCTCCCTCGCCCACCATCATGCGACACGTAGCACCAGATCCTCAGGCGGCTGAGGATTCGGGCAATTCCGAAGAACCCCTCTACGACGATCTGTCTTGCGCGGCATCGCAGGTAGAGCGGCCTAAATCACGCAGCCCGCCGCCTCAGCGACCTCCGCCACAACGCCCGGGCTACGAGCAGAGTAGTATTGATACAGACCAAGCACCAGGACACAGCCCAGTGCTCTCATCGTGTATGCAATCCACCACAGATACCTGGCAGGATGAGGGGAACGAAGGCCACACAGATGAGACACAGCCGCAGCGACAACACATTCCTCCAACTGGTGAGATCTTCACTGTTATCTATAACTACCATGCCCAACAACATGACGAGATGTCTGTGCACAGCGGTGAGCTTCTGTGGATCAAGGACCGCTCCACGCATCAAGAATGGTGGCTGGCTGTTCGAAACCTGTCGGAGTCAGACGACATCGGCATGGCGGATTTCAGTGGCGAACAGGGCCTTGTTCCATCGAATTATGTCTCACAAACGTATGAAGCCTTCTAAAACCTCTCCACCGTAATTGGCACGTGCTTTGAGCCAGCACTGGGAAGACCAGGATATGATCTGGTCACCTTTGCCCTCGTTTAAGACATTTCTGCTTCCACGCGCGTCTGCAGTTCCACTGCGGCAATTGCACAACGCACTGCGCTATGCTGGCTTGCAATGCGTTCAAAGGATCTTTATTTCTATTATTTTTAAATCGCCGAGTTACGCGCGAAGACGCCGTGTGTTTGAACGCTATCCGTGTTGCTGTGCTGTGCTGTGCTGTGGTCACCGTACATGTATTACCGTCCCACTTCTCGCTTGTCTCTCTATAACAATTACTCTTACACGATAGTTTTAGTCCTTTTCCTGATGATCGTGCAAGCGTAAAACTCGCGTTACAGCAATACAGCTTTGTTCCACCTTATTTGTAACAATTACTTATTTTGAAGTACTCTTATTCGTTCCTTGTCGCTCGGTAATCCTCAATTAGCATTGCATCTTTTGCATTGTACATTCCATGGTTTGCTTTATGCAGTACATTAATGTTTCATCATTGGCATTAGCCACACCCCACCACTGCCGCTTCCTCTGGTACATGTAGGTTAGTAGCGATATCAATATCATGTTTACCGAATATTCAGGTGTTTTTCAGGGCCAATCCCAAGTTTGAGGTTTCAATTCAATTCTGTGACACATGCTGATGGATTTCATGCTGTCGTTTGTTATGAAGTAGAAGGTATAATGGGATGGTCTGCGGACCACGATTGAGAGACAGAGAGTAGATCTACCGGATTCCAGTCCTGCTTGGATGCCGCCGGGAACGAATTTCCAGCCGTGCTGCAAAACACAGTTTTATTGAAAATGAGGGAAACATGGATGCAGAGAATGGGATCTTTGGTTGAAGTAGCTGACCACGTTGTGGTGGGTCTGATCGCTTCACCTCCCTTCGGACCCTGAGATTTTCACTTTTTTTGATGACCTGGCTTCCCCTCTACTTGACTACTGTAGTAAGCATTTGCTGTAATCCACGCCACTGGGATGTGTTTATTGCTATTATGAATTTATGATCACTCCCGCTTCAATCTGTTGTGTTACGTTACAATTACTTACATACACATGACAATAATGCAAGTCACGGAACGTAGATCTGCACAATAGTCATTCATCACTGCTCGCATTTCTTTGCTTTAGTTCTACCCTTTTTTTTTTTAGTTCTACCCTTTTTCCTCTAAGTTCTAGTTCTATTTTCTTCACACCGTCACGTACCACTGCTGCAGGACTTGACACTTTGCGTTGTTGCGCTTCCCAATCATGCGGCAATACTGAGTACCACGCACCCTGTTCGTACATGTAACTGCGTTGATAGATTCCTGATGAGTGTCTGTAAGAAAAGAAAGAAGTGTGAATCGTAGTCGCCTGAACTGTTGCATTGTGACCGATGACTGTCACTCAATAACAAGTTACATTTCCTCGACGTTGATTTGTTTCTCTCCTTCCAGGAAATGACTCGACTGTCTTGAGATCTTCAGACTCCCCTGATCGCATCCATCACCAAGACTGGACTGGAGTCCATAACTCCGGCGATTCCGGGGTTATGTCCCCAGTCTTCATCCAACAGAACTACTGATTACATGTACATGACAAGAACTGGGATCTGCTTTCCGGTTGCGATCCGTAAATCTAGGCGTAGCGCAGCCGCGCTAGCGGCTCTGATAGCGTGCACCGCGTGCCGCGAGATGGCGCCTCCTGCATGCAGATCCTGGCCGTGCGCCGCTTCGAGCGGCTTTTGCCGTTTCTTACTATTTTCGACAATTTCGTTGTTGAACTACAGTACTTACTTGCTTGAAATTTTGCCTGGGTCACAGCCACTGCACCATGCTTGTGTAGGCTGTTAATTTTTTCTAACTCCAAGGCAAAAACTCTGTGAGTCCTGGGACTCGCGGCTCTACGACAACAAGCGACAGTGGCACGATGTACAGCGGCTGAAACGAAGCCAGCCTGGTTGACTTGTCGCCGACTCAGACATGTCGACGGTGAGATTTGTGGACGGTGGGTGCCCGTGCTTAGCCGCTGCGTCGTCGCTGCATTGTGGCATAATATTATTGTTCTAGCTTTCAAACCAACATACAAGTACTGTCTTACATGTACTTGTACATACCTTACTGGCAATATATGTTGCCGCGTAACGCGTAACGCAGGGGGGTGCGGCGTAACGCGCGACCAGGCTAGTGCGACAAATTTTCCTTGAGTTCGTAACGCGCGTCCGGCGGGTTGCGGCGATCTTTTCATTGCAGTTTGCACTGCAAAAAAAAGGCTGAAACTGTGAAAGCACGTGTACCGCGTGGTGAAAAGTAGTTCTTGGAGGAAGCGCTCTTCCCCTATGTCACTTTCCTTTTGATGATCTATTTGTGAACAGATCACTCTGATAGTTAAAATATACAGTCTTCTATTGATATCGTTGTCGCCCTTTGCCGTCGGGTTTGTAACAGTTGGATAGCAACTGAATCTCTGTGCCTTCAATGTGGATGAAAAGAAAAAATGATGCGGCAAAAGCAAAAAAATGATGCGGCAATAGCAAAAAAGTGATGCGGCAATAGCAAAAAAAGGACTGCGGCAATATAGAAACCTGTGTAACGGCTCCTGTGCGACTTTGCATGTAACGCCCTGCGTGCGGCAAACATGTGCCAATGTAACGCTTCATGGCCTCACTGCGGCAACATATATTGCCAGTACGGTAATAAAAGGGAATACGTGTACGTGTAAATCGAAAACTTACTATTTTCATGGCAAAAGTGATTTGGGTCGGGTCTAGATTAGAAATTCTTACATGACACGTGATCGTTGCCGGGCCATGGCCAATAAGCGATCTTCCCGCCGCGGGCATAATAAGGCCATCAGGACCGTTTGACGTCATTTCGGGAATATTCGGACCGTTTGACGTCATTTCGGGAATGTTCGGACCGTTTGACGTCATTTCGGGAATAATTTTTCGACCTTTGACCTTCCCTAATATGTTGCTTCGCGCTGTAAGAAATCAAATCAAGCACGCTCTGTCTGTCATGATGGCTGAATCTTGCCCTTGCCTGCAGCCCTCGGGCCTACGGCCCTTGGGCTGCAGGCTCGGGCAAGATTCAGCCATCATGACCTCCTGAGCGTGCTTGATTACATACGTCCTGCAAAGGCGGAAGATATGTAGTCTGATGCCCGGCCATAGCGTGACACTAGGTATGCATGTCAGTGTCAGTGGTTATGATCAAGTTGAGATGCTTTGGCAAAATGCAAAGTCGTGTCCCAGCGCGCTAGCAAAGCACTAGCGACTGGCTAGCGACTCCGCTCTGTACACATGTACATAACAGTAAGCTAGCACTCATCAGCGGCTCCACTGTAGTCTTAGCGCCAAGAGTCCATAGTCCCCAAGAGCGCGCAACTAACTCACTGATCACATCTGGGACGGAGAAATCCGTGTTGCGCGTCCTAGTGCGACATCACGAGTAGGGGAAGTGTTTCTGTGGTGGACCGCGTCGACGGAATGACGCAAGTCCGACCCAAAAAACGACGTACATCACGGATTACACCGTCCCACAACCCCATCCCAGGTGCACACTCTCCGGGATTATGGACTCTTGGTAGCGCCTATAAGCGTTTCCGCAATTCCACTGACTCGTCATTATTACATGTACTTCTTTCACATACTACCGTACTGGCAATATAATATATTATATGGTCGCAGTGAGGCCATGAAGCGTCACATTGGCACATGTTTACCGCACGCAGGGCGTTACATGCAAAGTCGCACAGGAGCCGTTACACAGGTTTCTATATTGCCGCAGTCCTTTTTTTGCTATTGCCGCATCACTTTTTTGCTATTGCCGCATCATTTTTTTGCTATTGCCGCATTATTTTTTTGCTATTGCCGCATCATTTTTTGCAAACTGCAATGAAAAGATCGCCGCACCCCGCCGGACGCGCGTTACGAACGCAACGAAAATTTGTCGCACTAGCCTGGTCGTGCGTTACGCCGCACCTCCCTGCGTTACGCGTTACGCGGCAACATATATTGCCAGTACGGTAGTAACCTCTATTGATCCAGCACTGGACCAACAGTCTGAAATCAAACCTGCTGCCATTCATCAGCCTATGGCCCTGGCCTTACATTGTATTTTGTATCTTTGTATTTTATTATATTTTAAGGATTTCCCAAAGGCTTTGGGCCTGTCGAGGGGATCTCCTGCAAGAAGAATGAAATGACAACTTTATGTAGAGGGAGCAGTTAATCGAGGATAGGCTAAGGAAATAGATCGAGGCATACAAAATCTGGTAATTAAGGAGTTGGGATACCGTCAGTGTAATGAATATATCGGCGAAAATGCTGATAGAGAGAATGCTTGAATTTGGGGAGGTTGGTTATAGAGGTAAGAGAAGGCGGTAGGCAAGTCCATTTAGTAGTAGTAGTAGATCATTTCTTAGGGAGTTTTAGTCACACGTTATGGATACGGGAGCGTGGGTGATACACGTAAAGTTCCTGCAATGGACCCACGTTCGCAATGTTGTTTTTAGTCACACGGAACAAACAAAAGCATAAAGCGAAAGGCCCAACTTGGTCAAAGACGAAGCGGCTTCGAAGCTCATAGAATATTTTGATTTCGTGCTTCGGAAATTTCCTCAGTTGAGCACCCTCACGGCTTGCACAATGCTCTCCATTCTGATTTTCACCCACGTTCTGGTGGAACGTGGGTGAGCCTCCATGCACGGTGTCGTGAATCAGAAAACGTCTGTGCGTGGGTCACTGAGTATCACGTGGTACACACACCTAAAGTACACACAGATTACGTGGGACCAAACCTCCATATTATTTTAATAAGGACGTCCTAAGAGACGTTGCCGTCTTCTTCCAGGGAACCCTTTGTGCTCCTTACAGAGCACAGGGACAGACTGATCTGTCCCCCCCCCCCCCCCAGGAAATTGCGATTCCACAGATGCAACAAATTTCGCGATTTCCGGCGTTTTTTGTTGTTTCCTGCACTTCTTCTGTACTTTTCCCGCAGTGCTTTCCACAATCATGTTGGGTTTTTTGCAGACTCGACTCGAACTAATCCGGAGAGCGTGGAGTAGATCTACTGCCCAAATAGCGATTCTACGGATGCAACAAATATTGTGATTTGGCCCAAGTCCGCAATTTTCTGCAAATAATTCCACGGATTCCTGGCAAGTTCCGCATCTTTCCGCACTTTTCGCCGCATTTTTCGTTGTTTTCTGCCGCAATTTCTTGCGCAAGCTTTCGAGACTTTTTCCGCAAATTCCCGCAGGGACAGACTGATAAAATGAGAGAGCTTGATGACACGTGACAGGCAGAGAATTCCGCCTATCAGCGGCGCCAAGGAAACGAACAGAATACATGCCATATCTAGATTCAGTGGAGGGCGAATGAAGACATGAGAACGACTGCATCTGTAGTCCATCACTCAGTATACACTGCAGTGGCCTGGAAAGTAACACAAGCAGGAAAGGTGAGGACTAGTAAACCGCTGGCAACTGAAATCCGACCCCCTGGGCAGTGTGCTCACTTTCTAGCGGCCTCTATTTCGTAGTGGTACAATCCCATGCCAGGTCTTTGCGAAGTGAGTGAACCGCTCAGGTGGGTCGGATTTCAGTTGGCAGCACTGTACTGTAGCTTGTGTAGAGGTTATGTGGATGATGTCATGGTGGTGAGTCAGCGGAACCACTTACCGTGTGGATGATATCATGGTGGTGAGTCAGCGGAACCACTTACCGTGTGGATGATGTCATGGTGGTGAGTCAGCGGAACCACTTACCGTCGGGGCGCTATGTGTGCAGTGTGAGTCGGTGGTTTCAATGGTTTTGCGAGCATTGCTGTGTTACGACTTTGCCAAAGCATCTCTATTGATCTCAACTATTGATGTAATTGTTTAAGCTCTACAGCCCCCTCCTGATGTTACATAAAGCTCAGGATCTGTGAATCTGGTACATGTATTATGATTGTGGGTAATGAGTCTACTGACATGTTTGCATTGGAGTGAACCAGCGGAACGTTGAGTCAAGACGCAACAGTTTTGCTTATAATTATTATATAATTATGCCAAAGAGTTTAAGTGTTTAATAATGCCGATTCACAATACAACTTTTTGCGACGCGACAAGTGATTTGCGACAGTTGCGACAAGAAAGTGCCTGCCGTGTGCAGTCGCAAGGCACCTGTCGCAGACGTTGAAGAAAGTTCATCTTTTGCAACATGCGACACGCGACGTACACAAATGGAGTACAGTTTCTACCCTGGGTGCACGTGCATAGTACTCCTAGTTCATAATGGATGTCGCAAACACCTAAAAGATTGTGAACCGTGTGTCGCTGTCGCAGCTTGTCGCAAGTCGCATCGCAAAAATTGTATTGTGAATCGGCCTTAAAAGATGTTTCTTATCAGCAACATACAGTAAAATTTTACATTCCCAAGATCCCGCATGCACAGTGCTTTAGTTGTCCTTGTTGCTAACCAAAAACAATTCACGCTTCGCTTTACACTCAGTTTTCCGCATCCAAATGAGACTGTTGAACCACCATACGACACATTGACACACCCCGCCCTCGAGCGTAGCCCTCGTCGGGCCTGGGCCTTGCGCTACGCCCTCGGGCCTGGATCAACGACACTGCACCGACGACGTTCATGTTTGATTCTATACGAGGAGGTATATCAACGTCTGAATAGAGCACATGTGAGAGAAGGGAACAGATGTGGAGATTTGTGAACGCAGCCAGCATAAGTAAAAACACGAAAATACGGTCATAGCGCAATGTTCAGGGTGGAAATAGGAAAAAAATATTCAATCTAATTATTCTCTTTTCATGGTTGATGTATAATATACAATGTTGAACAACAAAAAATGGGGTTACTCTGGCCAGAGTGGAGTGCCTCAATTTCGGGGCATGTTGATGTACTGGTAAAGTGCGTGTATGTGTGTAGAGTGTAGAGTGTGATGAGGGGGAGGGAGAGGGGGGGGGGGGGTGCGTCTTGTGGAATGTTTGCACTGCCTATCTACAACAACAACAACGATCGCTACCAATCGCTTCAATGGTTGTGTCAATCAAGAGGAATAGAGTTTGATACCCATGTGCTTGCATGGGGTTGGGTGGTAGTGGTGGATGAGGGGTCTGTACATTTGTATACGGAGCGTTGTAACCGCTCGTCGTCATAGTCCTTGGTCGGCTATGTCGACCGACACTGGGTCATCACAGCTGCCGCGTCACCCTGCTGCGGTCTGCACGACAACTGCAGTGTGTTGTTATCAAACACACATGCACGCACGCACACACACACACACACACACACACACACACACACACACATGCACGCACACACACACACACACACACACGTACACACACATGGACACACGTGCACACACATACATACACACGCATGCACATCACGAGTAACTGTCTGTCCGGGGGCCAGCATAGACTGTAGCTGTGGCTGAACGGTGTTAGCTATGCACGCAGCTACAAGAACGGGTATGGCGGCATATGGGAAGTCCGATGGAAGCCATGCACCACACTAACTGAAATGACTCCTACGGCCAAAGCTGCTCAAGCTGATGATGATGTTGCTGACCGTGAATATAACGCGTAGCAAGATTCACAGCAACACCGCCCATCTCACCCATGGCTACTCACAGACAGCCGCTTTACAAGAGCAGCGCTCGTGCTCGGGCGGCACTTTAGAAGCCCTCGTCCCAGCCGGTGTTGTCCGGCTTGGGGGCGGGGATGCGCGAGCTCTTCTCCCGCTGGTCAAAGTTGGACAGGTCCTTGGGTCCGGTGAGCTGCGGTACAATGGGCGCTTCCAGGGTGCCCTCTCGCAGCGCTACCCAGTTGAAGTTGGAGAACCACTTGTGGCTGCGAATGGCGGCAAACCCGGAGGCGTTCAAACCGGCTCCGAGGCGATCGCTGGGCTTCATTTTGCAGAGGCTGAGAATGAGCGACTTGGGCGTCGCCTTCATGCTGCGAGACGGGAACGCAAGCAGGCCCTCGAACCCGTGCACGATCATGTTGTAAGTGCGCGTGATGTCACTGGACGTGAATGGTGGCATGGACTCGAGGAGCTCGAAGATCAGAACTCCCAGTGCCCAGATGTCAGTGGTGAAGGACTGGCCCTTGTTCAGCACGGTCTCCGGGGCCATGTACTCTGGGGTTCCGCAGAACGTCCACGTCTTGTATGCCGGTGCTTGCAGGGTCTTGGCAAAGCCAAAGTCAATCATCTTGCAGTAGCCCCGATGGTCCATCATCAGATTCTCGGGCTTCAAGTCGCTGAAACACACACGCACAGAAACACACACACACACACACACACACATGTGTGTGTACACACACGCATGCCATACACACACGGGCATGCACGCACACAAAAAACGGAAAAGCAACAGTACCAGCTGTTAATTTCAAGGAAAATTGAAGATAGAAATTCGCCACTGACCGGACAATGCTACTGGACTGTAGGTAACTAATACTAACTATCGGACAGACAGCGACAAACGGACTATCGGACAGACAGCGACAAACTGACATCAGACTACACATGGGGCAACAGGTGGATCAGTAGAGGGTATTATTGTGTCCATGAACTGCAGATCACACACGCTTGCAGCATGTGCACACACACACACACACACACACACACACACGAGCACACACATGCACATGTATACACACAAAAAAACACACATGCACGCACACACAAAAACACATCCACACACGAATACACGTGCATGCACACACAGACACATGCACATGCTCACACACATGCACACACATGCAACACACATGCACACACATGCACACACATGCAACACACATGCAACACACATGCACACACACACACACACACACACAACATACGTATTCTTCAATAACACAGCAGACATATGCCATTAGGTGAACACAGCTGTAGCTTCACCTAACTAAATGCTTGTACAACCTGTGTCTAAGTCAACTGCTCAAGTGACAAAATGTGCTTCCCGTGCACGAGTGGTCTTCTTATCCAGGGTCATTTTGACTGCAAATGATATCCGTTGGTCCTAGTTGTAGTGGTCGTCTCGGACAGGTGGACACCGCATCAGAGTTGTCGCCTTGACAGGTGGTCACCGTATCAGAGTGGTCTCCTTGACAGGTGGTCATCGTATCAGAGTGGTTTCCTTGTCAGGTGGTCACCATATCAGAGTGGTCTCCTTGACAGGTGGTCACCGTATCAGAGTGGTCTCCTTGACAGGTGGTCACCGTATCAGAGTGGTCTCCTTGACAGGTGGTCACCGTATCAGAGTGGTCTCCTAGTCAGGTTTTACTGAAACTAAAGTAAACACTTGTGAATGTACAGTTGCGCTCACTGAAATCCGATCCAAAGTGCAAAATAGAAGCCCTAGACCAGTTCCGATTGCATCATTGTACTGGTATATGTGTACGTCCGGCCGCATTCCTACCACTTCCAGGACCAGGTCAAGAGCCATGCAAGTTGAGGGCGCTACATATGCACTTTGGGTCGGATTTCACCGAGCATAACTGTAGGTTGAGATTCGGCATAACCAGACTATTGTGTCTTACCGATAGACAATGTCTCTGCGGTGCAGATAGGCGAGTGCCTCAATAACGCAGCCTGCGATGAAGCAAGCCTCCTTCTCCGACATACCGTTGACGTTCTTCATGACGTAGAACACGTCACCGCCCAGGCATGCTTCCATCAGGAAGTACAGGTAGCTGCGATGAACACACACACGCATACCAACACACACGCGCACACACATACACACACTCGCGCGCGCACACACACACACACACACACACACACACACACACACACACCAACACACACGCGCACACACACATACACACACCAACACACTCGCACGCACACACACACACACACACACACGCACACGCACACACACAAATACACACACACAAACACACACACCAACACACACGCGCGCGCGCGCGCACACACACACACACCAACACACACGTACACACACACACACACACACACAAACACATAGAGAGAGAAAAATGGCAGGTTTGCAGCATGCACACTATGTAAAAAGCTGGAGAGGATGAATACCGTGAGAATTGGAGAATCTGTCCTTCATACCTTTCCTGTTTCAACTCCCCCAACCTTATAAACTGGAGAAACGTTCATATTTCTGACGTTCACCTTCACATTGTCCATCAAGAAATAGCCTCTAGAAGCCAAACACGCAGCCACGCTCTATAAAGAACAAGCTTTCGGCATCTGACAAGCAACATTTTCAAAAAGTATTGCACAAGTTCTTTCCATGCCTTCGCATTAGGTGGAACACAGGGCCAATAAAGAACAAGATGAGCACAATGAGTTACATACAGTAGAGACGTGATAGAAACGGCACAAAGCAAAGTAGCCAGACACAACACCGGTAAAACGTGTGACCTCATCGAGGCAGCAGGGGCGTAGCTCACACATCTGTGGGGTGGTGACTACTGTAGTGTTTTGTACTGTAAAAGCCATAATTATATATAACAAAGTGCTAACTCTAACGAGCTAACGAGGAGAAATCTGTCGTTAAAATATAAATCGTTATACAGAAATCGATACATATACTGTCCTATTGAGCGTTGAGAATGAGTGAGAATCGTTACCTTTGGTACACGTAAACTAGTCACTTTCGGGAAATCGTTATTATGTGCGCCTCGTTAGAATAATGGCTTTGACACTATTTTAAAAAGCCTGTCTCATTTAGAAGCATGTTTTGAATAGAAGCCTGATTTTCAAGATACACCGTTGGTACATACGCCTGGTTTTAGTGTTGACATACCTAGAAATACATGTCTTGTATAGAAGCCTGTCTCATTTAGAGAAGCCTGCAGAATGTCCCCAAAAAAGTCAAGCCGCGGCTTTTATACACGACTTTACGGTATGTACCAGAGCACATCTGTGGTGTGGCGACCGTGCACCAC